TGACAAATATATCAATTGTCATTTTGCAAATTAAAAATATCAACAATCTGTCAATCTTGACAGCTGACAACCGAAAATTATACAAAATATCATGATACCAATTTCAGACAAAAATCCAGGATTACCAACAGATTCACTCCTTTCTGATCACGCTGTACAACTCAAGAAAAGTTTCAGATGATTACGGCATATCATTATCAAATTAAAGTTTACACCATATAGATGATGCATTCGTAAAAAAACACAAATTGACATTTGACAGACTTTTTGAAAAACGTTAATTTTGTTCTTGGAGAAAGTAAGGTTACTAGCCCGCCTTGTCAGTTGTCACCAATACAATTTTAGGTTTATTGTAGACATATTTTGTACCCAATACCGGGTGTCTGGAAAATGGTGAATTAACTCTATGCTACGCTCTTACTAGACAATTGGTCAGTCTAGGTAAAATAGTAAAAAAAATCCTTCTCACATTTTGGTGGAGTTATAATGATTTTAAAACTGGTTCTTTTGCTACGTTTTACAACTAAACAACAAATTCATTATCACAATAACTAGTAATCAAACTTTTAAGTTTTTTAAGTGTCAAAGCTTTCAAAAGCCTACGTTTAAAATGTTCCCAGTTAATTTTCGGTCCTCTGGAGATTTTTTTTGTAAATTATTTAAAGCAATTTTGGGGAACTTTGGTCTTCTATTTTTGGAAAATTCTGACCTGACCTGTTTTTGAGTTATTTTGGGACTCCGTTTTTCTTTTTTTTTTTGGTAAATTTAAAACAATCTTGAGGTTCTTCTTATAATAATAATTTAATAAAATTTCTTAGAGGATACGTCATTTGCTAAAATCAGTCTTCTTAGCAGGTCTCACCTACCTGCTAAATTAAGACTGATTTTGACAAATGAGATATGCTCTAAGAGAAGAGAGGGTGGGTGGGCGGAGTTAGTAACTGCCAAGATAAGACTAATTTCGGAAAATCACATACCCTCTAAGAAAATAAAGGACTGGTGGGTGTTGCTAGTACTTGCCAAAATTAGACTGATTTTGGTAAAAGACCTTACACTCTAAAAAAAAGAAATTTTGGCAAAAGACCTAATCTCAATCTTAACTTAGCAGGTACTAGCACCGCCCACCCACCCTCTCTTTTCTGAGCTAATATTTCATTTGCTAAAATTCAGTCTTATCTTAGCAGGTCCTAGCCCCGCCCACCCACCCTCTCTTTTCTTATACGGTATGTCATTTGCCAAAATCAGTTTTATCTTAGCAGGGACTAGTCCCGCCCACCCACCCTTTCTTTTCTTAGAGAAAATGTCAATGCCAAAATTACTAATGAGTTATCCTGTGGTGTTACGACTGATTTTGTCTTCAGTCACAATTGCTACTAAGAAATCAGAAATTTTAAATTTACTTTTATAAAATTAGGTTTTTTCGTAATCTACATCAGAAATAATTTTTTTATTATCCTTTTGCTACTCCCAAAACCCCCGTACATAACGTACTGAAGAGTTCTTCCGTTTTCCAGACACCCGGTGTTGATGAAGAGTATGTCACGAAAATTAATTGACTTTTTTTGAAGTGAGTCTAAAAGAAATTTGTAGCAGAAAACAGAAGAAACGGTATTTAGCAGAACCAATCGCATTTATAAAAAATAAATAGTCAAGTCCCGCATGAAATCCAGCAAAGCTTTATCGAGTCGAATTCAAAAACGAAGATCCATAATTAAAATTTAAAATCAAATTTTTCTTGGCTTTCTGTGAGAACTAAAAGCTGACTTGAAGCTCAATTCGCTTAGTTTTTTTGTTACCAGGTAAATGTTACGACTAGAGAGCGGATTTCTAGGTTTAATGCTTTTTGTGAAAAATGTAAGCACTTCAAAACTTTTTTATATCTGTAACTATGATACAATTTGGAGTCATTTGACACATTTTTTTTATGCTTATTTGCTTTTTTTTCAATTTTATGCATATTAAAACTTATATGCTTATTTAATGCTTTTTTCGACGAATATGAGTTTTAATGCATATTTTGTTCCAATGTCGGTCTTGTCGGGATGACAAATACTTGTTAGTTAGTCGTATCGTAGCGTATGCATTTTACCTGGACTTGACCATTGAAGTACACTTACTCAAGACCCTTTCTGTGAATAGGTTCCGGTCGTTTGGGTAATAAAATTTTATTATAGGATTAGAAAAATAGTCCATAGATTTTATGACTTTAAATCCTTACTTCCGTTGATAATGAGTTAAAGCTTTTAACCAGATGTTCTTTTTTGGCATTTTGCGGCAAGACCGTTGAAGATTTTCTAGAAAAAAGGATTATTGTACCCAACTACCTACCTTAAAATTTTTCTAATGGAACTTTTAAGTAAATGAACCGTTTATTTCACAACTATCAGTCTATCGCATCTGTCGTAGTACAGTGTTAGTACTTGTTATATGTTGAGTTTTTTTTTGGTAATATTACTAATATTTTAAAAGAATGCCGAAAGTAAAATCGACGCCGGATGAGTGGATAAGGGATTTTCCACAATTAAAATTAGAAAACAACAAAATATTTTGCAGAGCTTGTGTGAAAACCGTAAGCCCACTAATTTTTTTTTATCTATTTTCCTCTGTTAATCCTGTATATGTACGTTGTTTTAGATTCAAAGTGATAAAAAATATAACGTGACGCAACATGTCAGAACGACTCTTCATGTAGAAAGGAAGAAAATGTTTGAAGTTTCTAAAATTAAATAGCAGACCATAAATGAATCTATTGGATCTACTTCCACAAAAGATGAGCAGTTTCAGTTTAATTTCGATTTATGTAAAATGATGATCCAGTCCAATATACCTTTAAAAAAATTGGACAAAGGCTCTCTTCAAAAATTCCTCGAAAAACACTGCAATCGACATATTCCGGTTGAAAGTACTCTCCGAAAAAATTATGTAGGCCCAGTGTTTCAGCAAGTTTACAACGAAATTAAATATCGCATTGGAGATAATTTATTTATGGGTCGCTGTCGATGAAACAACCGATAGTTGTGGAAGATACGTGGCAAGTTTAATTGTTGGAATCTTAAATGAAAATTTCCCTAGTCGAGGGTATGTAGTAAGTTTGAAAATGTTAGATACAACAAATGGCAATACGATTACCAGATTTGTAAATGACAGTCTTACGTCACTATTTTTGCCAAATGCCGTACCGGCGAATAAAATTTTATTGATGATCTCGGTTGCAGCTCGTTATATGTTGAAAGCAGGGAATAATCTAAAAATATTATACCCCAATTTAATTCACTCTACTTGCATTGCCCACGGTTTAAACAGAGTGGTTGAAAGAATACGTTTGCAGTTTCCTACTGTTAATAAATTAATGGCAAATGGTAAAAAGATTTTTGTTAAAGCCCCACTAAGAGTGCAACATTTTAAGGAAAAATTTCCAAACATACCATTGCCCCCAGAGCCGATTATAACGAGGTGGGGAATATGGTTACAGGCCACATTTTATTATGACAAATATATCAACGAATTTGAGGAAGTAGTTACGGAGTTTAGCGAAGATTCTTCTCAATCGATTAAAGATTGCATAAATATTTTGGAAAACAAAGATTTGCGACAAGATCTAGCTTTTCTAAGAAGCAATTATCAATTCGTATGTGAGGTAATAGAAAAGTTAGAAAAATCCAACATGTTCTTGGTAGATGCCATAAACTTAGTGAAAGAATTTAAACAACAAGCAAACGCAGTAAGGGGTGATATTGGTACTAGAGTATCTCAAAAACTTGACGAAGTGTTAAATAAAAATGCAGGTTTCGGTGTTCTTTCCGACGTTGCTCGTGTTTTACAAGGCCAGAAGGTGGAAAATTTGGAGTTAGATTCAACATTAGTTGCAAAATTCAAATTTGCGCCAACAACGAGTGTGGATGTTGAACGCACATTCCCCAATTTTACATTTTAAATGATCGGCGAAAAAATTTTACAGTGGACAACTTGGAACATATTACAATCATAAATTGTTTTAAAGAAAACTGAAATACGTGTGTAAAATATAAAGTCTAGGATTATTGTAATAATATTTTATCCAAAGTTCTAAAAAGTGTTCTTTGATTTGTAATATGATTAAGTTTTTAATGCTTTTTTGCTTAAAATAAAACTTTTTTAATGAAAGTGTTTTGCTTATTTAATGCTTTTTTGCTTAAAATAAAACTTTTTTATTGAAAATGTTGTGCTTATTTAAGCGCTTATTCATAATTTTTTTGTGCTTATAAATCCGCTCTCTAGTTACGACCAAAGTTCTTGATAAAGATTCCAGAATATGCTTTATGCGGTCTTCCTTGTATTAAAATGACTAAATTATGTAAATTTATGTTTAAAAAATTAAATTTGTCAAATCTACCTTGTTTATAATGTTTTTGAACGACATTTCTTGAAATTCAGTGCTGTACTCTTTGTGTTTCGGAGGCCAGGAATGTTCGGTGCAAATCATTTTACAGCTGTATAACATTATATATAAAACAATGTGGAAACATATTTCTTTGTGTAAACTTTTTGGTTGCAGGAAATCGAATCTATACCCGTTTTCTGCTGCATGCTTTGCTATCCCTCTACATTACACCTTTCATAGATTCTGTCTTTCAGTTATTTAATGTTTCCTTTATAAACTTTATTGCATTCTTTGTAATGGATTTATAATCCATACCCAGCCTCCGCTTACTATTCTTACTATACTTTAGTTTTACTAAGAAGGCTATTCGGTGTAAAATTTTCACTCTGCTTTTTCAAAGTTTTCTATAAATGATGCTATTTTCTACTAACTTTTGTTTCATTGCGTCTTCGATTTGTTGTTTCCCGCGAGAGCCCGTGCCTTTTATTTTCTGTAGCTGTACCCTTTTCTGGTCTCGTGAGAACGCCTCTACGCGAGAGTTAAAAAAGATGTTTGAATACCCTCCTATTCATAACAACGCTTTGTTATGCGGTCAAGATTTCGTCGCGTTTCTTCATCCCACATTCTCTTTTCATTCCAGGTGACGAGTCAGGGCGCTCTGATCCGCTACCCTCCCATCCACCACCGCCAGGGTCTGATAACGACGACGCTCGGTTTGCGGTTCACCCTCAGCAGCCGCCACTTCCAGGGTGGCTCCATGAAAGTGAAGTGCATAGCGTCGGTGTCACCGTCACTCTTGCGCACGGACAGGGAGAGCATCGTGCAGAATTTACCCATCAAGGACATGCGAGAGGCCCTCCTTCTCGGTGAGTGGACCACCTTCATCCAATCCCCGTGGCATGGTGTGTATCACGCTGAAGTATCCTCACAAAAGCTCGGTTCAGGCGGTGTTAATGCAAGCGGGTTGTTCGAGTGGACGGGAATTAATTTTAGCGATTTCGTTGGGATTGTTAATTTTTTCGGTTTTAATTTTTATCGGCGGGAATTTGCTGATGGAATTTTATTTTGGGGAATGCGGGATGAAAAGTTATTTTATCTAAATTGAGGGGATTATAAAAGATTACCAGTTGGGGTTTTGATAAAGCGGTTGATTTTTTTTAATGCCAGTAGTATTAAATACAGATATATGTAGCTTTCAAAGGTAACAATCACAATTTTTGGATTTGCGTTATACGAGATGGACAAAAAGAGAAAACTGTACAGTAGTAAAGTGCACGCTCACATAACGCTTTTAGTAGGAACCTAATTGGCACAGCAGCACTACTCAAGTCCTACATTTGACAGCCGCTTAACAGCTCACGTGGGCTGATTTATCACTTCTTACTATAAAGAGTGGAATTTAGGCTAAAAAACAAAACAAACCCTAAAGCAGATTATCAAAATGGGGGATTTAGGCTCGAAAATGGCAAAATAGGCGCTTTCGGCAAGTTTTAGAAAAAACGCGTTTGCTTTTCTTCGAGATCTACATTTATTTTATTATTTTACATAATCAGCGATCCTAATCTTCGTTAAAATTTGCATAACAAATTGGATATTTTTCTAAATTTTCGACCGAAAAAATTTTCCTTTTGTCCATTAGGACATTTTTATACATAAAGAAGGATCTGTCAAACATCACACAATGTCCCATTTGACAACAATGTTTGCCTGATATAAAGCGAAGGGGTGGGGGAAATTTAAAGTCGGGCAGAACTTTTTGACGACTGTAAATATGACTTTATTATTGTTTCAGAATCCTAGGAAACCAGAATTTAAAAGTGTCAAATTTCTTAACGTCAAATTTGTAATTTGATTGAATAAAAAATCACCGTGGAGATGATGAAGATAAAATGGGTAATAAAAGCCGCGTTTGCCTAAATTGGTGAAAATGTCATGAAAATGTCACCTGGTGCCGGACTTTAAATTTACGCCATTGTACAACTCAGCAAAAATCGGTGCGAACAAGTACAAAAATTAAATACGCAATTTGTATTACTACTACGCCAGATATCACTAACTGTTTCTGCAAATGTTCTTTATAAATATCTTCTGTGGAAATAACATCCATTGAAACTTCTTTTTCTAGAATTTCAATGCCCCGTGTACTTTTCCGGATGGTCAAATTGAAGAAATGGAGCAACTTTTCTTGGGACAGCTCCAATTCGATGTATGCCAACAAATTGTCGGGTACATTTACCATTGCGCTGATCTAACAAAAATCACTGGCCTTGAAAGGTAGAAGGTCGTAGTGCCGAGTATTTTCTAAATAAAACATATTCTTTAAAAGTACTATCTTCTTCTGTATTCATAAATTTTGTGGATGTTTTATGTTTCGTGGGCTCCAATGTCACTAAGATGAGGTCATCTTTTTATATTATCTCTTGAGCTTTTAGTGTTTTATTTTTTACGAATCTGAAAAAGTCTTGAGTGCTGCAGTGTTTTTTTTTTTAATTCGGAAGACTCTTAGGTACCCATGGTGTATTATTTTGCACCTCATGGAGATTTTTTTTGTAAAATTCTGACGTGACCTGTTTTTAAGTTAATTTTGGACCCTTTTTTTATTTAAAACAATCTTTGGAAAGAATTTGAAAATGCTTTGGAGCTTCTACTGTCTGTTCTTATAATAATTGGATTAAATTTCTTCAGGTATACGTCATTTGCAAAATCAGTCTTAACACCACCCACCCTCTCTTTTTTTAAAGGATATCTCATTAGTAATTTTGGCAAATGACATTCTCTCTAAGAAAAGAGAGGGTGGGTGGGAGGGGCTAGTACCTGCTAAGATAAGACTGATTTTGGCAAACGAAATACTCTCTAAGAAAAGAGAGTGTGGGTGGGCGGGGCTAGTACCAGCTAAGATAAAACTGATTTTGGCAGATGACATACCCTATAAGAAAAGAGGGGGTGGGTGGGCGGGGCTAGCACCTGCTAAGATAAAACTGATTTTGGCAGATGACATACCCTATAAGAAAAGAGGGGGTGGGTGGGCGGGGCTAGCACCTGCTAAGATAAGACTGATCTTGGCAAATGAAATACTCTCTAAGAAAAAAGAGGGCGGGTGGATGAGGCTAGTCATTAGCCCAAATCAGTCTTATTTTAGCAGGTACTAGCTCCGCCCATACGGCCACTCTTTTCTTAGAGTGTATTTCATTTGCCAAAATCAGTTTTATCTTAGGAGGTGCTTGCCCGCCCACCTGCGTTCTCTTTTCTCAGAGGGTATCGCATTTGCCAAAATCAGTCTTATCTTAACAGTAACAGGTACTAGCCCCGCCCACCCACCCTCTCTTTTCTTAGAAGGTATGTCATTTGCGAAAATCAGTTTTATCTTAGCAAGTACTGATGACTAACTTTTACAAAAAATGATCAAAATTAGGAAACATTACGAGCTTACTTATATGCACAAGGCATTAATTTTGAACATCTTCTCTCGTGTTTTGTTGGTTAGACTTTAATGGATTTTTCTTTTATTGGTTTTGTTTTTGTTTATAATTTATAACTCTCTTATTAAATCTTTTTTTTGGTATATTTATTAATGAAAAATAATACTCCTAGCTTGTTTTATTACTAACTAGCTGACCCTGTGAACTTCGTTTCACCTACAATTTAATTTTGAATCTGCAAAACCGAATGCGTTGAAATGTTGCAGATGTTTTTAACATATGATAAGCATAATAAATTTTTATTCAAAATATATTTACTTATTCCCTCCAAAAAATTCATGGCGTCAGCCCAAAATTTTGCCAAATGAATCCTATCTAAAATGTCCAAAATAGAATGAGACTATACTTGTGATTTATCATTCCATTCATATTTTTTAGTTTTGGTTATAGGGGATGTCTCAAAAAAAATAATCACTGAGTCAATTTATTTTATTGATTGAATCAAGAATTGCAAAACTGAATTTTGAAATATTGCAGACGTTTTGAAGTTACTGTTTGACATGGTACGTTTTTAATCAAAATATATCTGTTTATCAAGCCCAAAAACTTGATGACGTCATCTCAAGATTTTGCCGAATAAATCCTATCTAAAATGTGCAAAATATCATCAGTATATTTTCGTAATTTATCATTGCATTCATACTTTTTAGATTTGCTTTTACAGTGACTCAAAAAAATGTATGGATCAGTCAATTTATTTTAGAGAATAGCTCAAGTTGCAGAAATGAATACTTTGAGATCTTGCAGACGTTTTAAAATTATTGTAGGCATGGTAAATTGTTAAGAATAGTTAATTACTCCCCCCAAAAAATTGATGGAACGGCTTACTCGATTTTCGCAGATAATTTTGGGAATACAATACAGTTATTTTTAGTATTACACTGCACCAATCCAAGGTGGTATACGTGTTGATCGTAAATGTTGATTAGGTCATCACAAAATTGTGTGAAGAAAAGACTCAACTTGAAAATGCTGAATATGTTTCATTATACTTTTGGTGAGACGGAAGTTCTGTCGAAACAACGGTCGATCAATTTTTTGACAATGGTTGATATAAATAAAACTCAGTAGATGCTCATACTCGAAATACGAAGTATCTACTCGAATATCAAATCAAAATATTTCTAGTTTTTCTATATAATGCTAATACTTCAGTACGTAACAAATGATGCTCAAGTAGCAACTCGATATAACAAGAAAGGAAAACAGTGACAGTGTCTATCAAGGCAAAACTCGAGTCACTAATATATAAGTTAGTGTGGGGTAGACACCTTGAGATGGGAATGTCTCTGTTAGAAAAAACACACTGCACATTTTATGCATAAATAAAAGTCAATTACCTGAAAAATTTTCGATATTCCCGCTCCTAATGTGTTTTTCAAACTGAATGCACCTTTTGACGACGTTCCACGTTCATGAAAGTATCCATGTTTAGTCAAAATTCACTCTTACAACGATCCTACTCGTTTTCTAAGCTGCTTTACAGACAGCTCAGTCATTTGCCACGCCGATGCTCATTTTTAGATTAAATGCGCACAAAACGCATAGCTAGATGTTTAATTTGTGTCCGGGGAAATGCAATGTTTTCAAGTAGGTACTCAGTACATAGAGTAGATGCTCAGGTATATAAGAGTAATAATGAAGTAGGTACTTCGTACTTCGAATATGAGTATCTATTCAGTTTTATTCGTACCACCCAATGTCTCGCTTCAATGTTTGATTATGTTGATTATGAGCACAACGCTGATCAACTTCCATATCCGAATTACCCATGAAATAATTCATTGCGGATTGACTTCGTGGACCTATGTCAACTTGTCGTCTTCTCGGCATTGTAATGAACTTTATAAAACGACACAGAATTATTTTCACAGTCAATCAGATCTGTAAATTTTGTCTTGAGAATTTTAAAATATTGAAAACTTCAAATTAAATCCTCGAATAACGGTAAAGTTTGAGGTTTTGTCGAAACCAACAAAGTGACTATAGGTAAATAGAATGGCAGATCAAAATTAATAAGACACTTTCGCAATGTGTAACTAAATTCACTTTAACCAAGACTTTTCTTAAAATAAACGACGTTTTTTTTACGAAAAAACAAAGAACGACTTGAAATGCAATATACTTTTCACAATCGCACGGAAGAATTAGTCTTGTATGACACGTTAGTTAGACGACAGGTCCGTCAGGAACGCCAACTATTCAAATTAATTCGAAGTGGCGATCCCCATGCAAAATTTTTAGAATTTTTTTATCTTTTAGCTGAGAGTTTGGTCTTGAAATATTTATGGAAATTCAGAGAAGGTTTAAACGGTGAGAAACAAAAATACTAAAAACAGAAATTCTATTTTCCAATACAACATGTTCTGAACTGTGAAACATTTGAT